CATAAGCCCCTTAAGTCTTCTCTTCAAGCTGTACACTTCTGGTTCCTTCGCCTGCTCTGTGTCATCCTCCTCCTATGGAATAACTCTGATTTGTCAATGTCTTCCCTACAACGTGGAGCCCAGAACAACACAATACCTGTGGTGTGAACAACAGTCAGGAGGATTATAGCCAGACTCTCATCTCCGTCGTTATAGACCCTATGCCTGTCAGAGCTGCCTAAGAGCACATGTGCTCTTTCAGCTGTCATGGTGCACCGCATACTGAGCTAGGGACGTGAAAACTGAGCTACTGTGAGTGATCTCTGAAAGTTTACAGAGAACGGGAGAGGTGCCAGAAGGTAAGAGAGGGGCAAATGTCCCAATTTCCAACAATGGGAGGAGGAAGAAGTCTACAAATTATAGGCCAGTGAGCCTGAATAAGATTCCTGACAAAATCCTAGTACACATAATTAGAGGGATGGTTTGTGAGTGCTTAAAAGTGATGACTAAAGACCAGGTTTAAAAGACCACACATGCTTTCTATTGTCATCAAGAACGGGCTGTGCCTCACTAACTTCATTCCTTTTTATGACAGGCTTTACTAAGTGGCAGATCAGGTAAAGATTATGCACACAGTAAACTTAGATTTCAGTAAAGCATCTGACAAAGTTAATTCCTGTGGACAAGATGGAAAGACATGGGCAAGGTGTAATATACTTAGATGGATTTGGAACTTTAAAGACTAGACCCAAAGATTAGACATTAAGCAGTCAAAACTCTCCTTAAAGCAGGTGTTCTTTACTTGGGAGCTGTGAATTAGTTTTGAGATATAATTTGTTAACTGTATTTCAAAATAATTAGTTTCCTTTGCAATTCCATGTATTTTATACATTTAAAAACATTAATCCAAGAAGGAGTCCCTAAGATTCACCAGTCTGCCGAAGGCATCCACAACACAAAAAAGAGTAAGAACTCCTGTTTTAGAGGGAGATCAATAATAGAGTGTCCTGGGGATCTGTTCCTGGCCCAGTACTATTTAACATTTTTATCAACTACTTGGATAAAGGCATACATGACATGCTTATTAAATTTACAAATGACACAAAACTTGGAAGGTTGGATGACATGTCAAATGAGATTCAGGATCTCTAATGATCTGGATGGCCTAGAATAATGAACTGAAGATAAAATACAAAACGCATACAAAATCTTTTACTTGGCAAAACAGCAATTCACAAATATAAGATGGGGGCAGGACACACCTTAACAGTTCATCAAGGGAAAACAAGGGCCCCTACTCTTGAGTGGCTCACAATCAAACAGGACAAAATACAAATATCCTACAAGGGATAGTGAAATAAGTGCAAAGGAGAGGTTTAGGAAAAGTAAAATGAGAAATCTGAGGAAGAAAAGATCACATTCATCCAGGAGTGGGATGTAGGAGGGAAGAAGGATCAGAGAAGAATTTTAGAAGCAAATTAATGTCTCAGTTGGACCTCAAAGGAAGAAAGAGACTCAAAGACTTTCCATCTTCATGGGTCTTATTAGAATTTATGCTGCTGGCATAGGCTTCAAGAACCTAGAAGCATCCTCCAAGTTACAATAAGGCAATAAAGGAGGACTTTAGTAGGTGACTGAGGTTATATATGCATCCAACATGGAAAAGATGGCTATCTAAATTTTTATAGGAGGTATACACTTGCTTCCAAAAATCTGATTTATTTCCACTGGATGAAACATCAATTTTAAAGGAGGTGTTGATGGCTGTTGCTATATTTCTAAAGAGGTGTCAAGGTTTCAATCACTACATATCTTAGATGTTAAAAAGAACTTCTGCTGCCATTTGAATTTGGCAAACAAGGCAACTCAGTTTTAGGATTGGAACTTATACTCAGCTCTGGATAGAAACAGGGAGCTGTTTGCCAAGATGAAATGTTGCCATTACTGATTAAATGACTTCCCTCTTGCCTGCTTTGGGCAAAAAGGTCATTTCAAGGAGCAACCTGCTTCAGGGGAGGGAAGAGAGGCTCTTTTCTTGTAATTAAATATTGTTTCACAGGAAACCAGAAGTCTCTATTTGAGGTAGCACTTGAGGGGTAAGGAGAGGTGTAAGATATCCATGGAAAAATGTTTAGTCTGTTAGACTGACACCTCAAACTGAAGAACATTTAAATCTCACTCCAAGAAGCTTGACAACATAAGTATGCATATGAATCTTACTCTTTCAATAGTTAGGTTTATAATTGTCTGTGTGATTTCACTAACAAACATGCTTCTTCAATGGACTGTGAGCTTGAGGGCAGGAGCTGTTTCGTTTTTTGTCTGTTTCCCCAGCACCTATCACATTGCTAGCCACACAGGAGGTACTGGGAAAAATACTTGTTGACTGATTCATTTCTTTATTTTGATGGCTGCATTAGTATATTCAATAAATATAGAGTGACTCCAAGGATAAGCAGAAAGGAAATTGGGGATTTGTACAAAATTTGTGGACTATTAAGTCCACATACCTACTTGTTAATTTTATAGAACCCATTACCAAAGAATCAAGAAATTTGCCCTAAGATGAACTCTACTTATCTGAATAGCAGTTGGACTAGTGTTTTCAATTATCTGCTTTATAATTTTGAAAAAGATATATAACCTGAAAACTACTTTCGAGCTGAAAGAGACTTTAGAACATACAGTAACAGTGATGTGAAGAACCTTAAAACACCGAACACAATTGTGTGGATGGAACTGCAGAATAACCAATCCCAAAGGAATCTTAGAACACAAAATAACAACTAAAGGGAATATTTTGCCTTTACTTAATACGTTTCTCCAAAGAACTCTACTAGGGAGAGAATATTATTACACATAATATCATTACTTCCACCTATAATGCTTATTCAAAGTATATGAATTGGATCCATAATCTTATTTATTTATTTATTTATTTGGTGAGGCAATCGGGGTTAAGTGACTTGCCCAGAGTCACACAGCTAGTGTTATATGTCTGAGGTCAGATTTGAACTCAGGTTGCCTTGACTCCAAGGCCAGAGCTCTATCCACTGCGCCACCTAGGTGCCCCTGGATCCATAATTTAATAATAAGAAGAGAGCAGGATGAAGTGAGCCTGGGGAATTATACAGCATTTTCACAGATCCCAAACTGTTCCCTGATGTCCTCCACCAAAAAAATCATTTAACGTCAGTATTCTACTAGTAATGCTATATAGCCACAAATAAGAAAACCTCACAAAAACCATAGGGGACCCAAAGGAAAACAGAGAGATTTGTTGTGGGCTACAACAAATTACCAATGAAATATTGTGTTTAAGAAGCAGCATAAGGGATCTCATCCAGGAAATGAATAGTTGGGGGAAAAAAAAGGTAGGCAGGCTTCAAATAGAGAATGAGAGTTACCAGACAGCTTGAGTGTTGCACTGGTACTCACAAAATATTGAAAAAGAAAGAGAAAGGCCTTTATTGAAAGACAAAAGCCTATATTGGCTCTACCCTCTACAGAAGATTTCTGGCTATGCAAGGACAAGAAAGCATGGATGGATTATGATCTGCACCAACTGAAGGGGCGTAAACATCAATGAGATCAGAGATCCATTGAAATGCTTAAGTAAAATATCCTTAAGAGGTAGTGAGGAAGCAAACAGCAGCCATGCTCCAGTAGGAGGACCACTAGCTTGGAGTCAGGAGATTTCAGTTAGAGCTCTGCCATTAAATCACTCTAGGATTTAACATCTGTAGGTCTCACTTCCTCCTGTGAAGTGTGGAGATTGGATGAGATGATCTGTCTCTAAGGTCCTTTTCCAGTTCTACGATCTGTAAACTAAAAGCATTACTACTTTTTTACAAAATGGAAAACTGAAGCATAGACCAAGGAAATGTCCCACTCAAGGTCACTGTGTAGGTAAGCAGAAGTCCCTGGATGAGAATCAAAACCATGTTTCATATAAATATCTAATGGATTTTGATATTCGGTTGTAAAATACCAGCAAATTTCTATGAGAATGTTTTTAAAATTCTGAAACCAAAAATTCTTTTAAAAAATATCAAGAAAAGGAATATAGATTTTTACAGCCTAGTCTCACCTTGATTTTATTACTCATCATCCCCTCCTCCCCCCCAACATAAACTGAGTCTATGGTTACAAAAGGTATGACGTATATTACAAAGCCTCAGAGTCTGAAGAGATAGGAATCCCCTCCACAATAACCCAGATAAGTGGTCTGCCTGACCACACCCTACCCAACTGTGGCAGCACATCACACCTTCCTGCGGCTCTCCCATGGGTTGTTCTTTGCTATTTCTGGGGTTTCCTTGATAAGTTGCTTCTACTCCCCTATTCTTATCATCTTCAGAAAGCAACTTTTGAGGTGTGGAAGGCACAGAGTGGAGTGTGATGGCTCTTGCTGCTTCTTGATATTTCCATGCCACTCACTGGACAGGTATTTTGACTGAATACCTGGCCAGAGCAAAACACCAGTCCTGCAAGGAGGACTGATATGTCATAATATACTTCTTTCTACACAGAATTTTAGAATATTAATTCTTTCCTCTTCTAACAAAATTCAGTAAAACTCTCTCAAAGAAGCTAAAATGGGAAAAACTGTTACCAAAAGAGTTTCATTTGCTGCTACCACCTCTCCTCCAAGTTTTAAGTGTTAAATCTCATCACCCCACAGACTCTTATAGCTAGAGGAGCTTTACTTGATAGCTGACTTATTCTTTTATCATTCTAAATTTCAAACTGGACTGGAACTATTATAATGGTGAATGAGGATTTGTGAAGTGCAAAATACTCAGAAGAAGACAGAGTAAAATTCAAATGTCAATAAAAAAGTCATAGTACCAAACTCATGAGGCACCTTACAAGCTTCTACTAGTACTAGAGAAAGAGAGCAATGGCTAATGGGAAATGATTAGAAAGCTTTTGGCTATGCAGATCATTTTGAAGGTGGAACATTTCAAACAACATTCTTTAGAAGCCAGGGTTGCCCTCGTAAACGCAAATTTACTTACAAATTCATAGTCCCCATCTTGTGGTACTTTCCAATCTGAAGAATTCTTCAACGGACCTGGGGCATTTTTGCCAAAGCTGTTGACCTGATTCTCTTTTTCTTTCTGTTCAAAGTACTCAAGGAAAGATGGCTTTGCAGGTTGCATAGTTTCATCTCTTCCTGCAAAAAACAGAAAAGTAGAGAAGATAAAGCAAATCATTTTGTGGGATCATACAAAGTTGGACAATATGATGGATGAAAGGAACACTGGATTTGGAGTCAGAGGACCTCAGTTCAAATCTGGTTCTGCTACTTTAATATCTATGTGACTTTAATATCTATATGACTTACTTCACTCCTTTGGGGTTCAGTTTTCCTCATGTGTAAAGTGACAGAGTTATACTAGATCAACAATTCTAAAACTTTTTGGTCTCAGGAACCCATTACAATGTTTAAAAATTACTGAGGATATTAAGGAGCTTACATGTGGGTTTTACCTGTTGACATTTACTATATTAGAAATTAAAATGGATAAATTTACAAAATATTTCTTTATTAACTCATTTATAAATAGCAATAAACCCAACACATGTTAACACAGATAACATTTTCAATGAAAAATAACGGTATTTTCCAAAATGAAAAGAAAAATTAGTGATAAGAATGGCATTGTTTTACATACTGTTGCATATTTCTTTAATGTTTGGCTTAATAGAAGACAGGAGGATTCTCATACTTGCCTATTCATTCAATCTGTTGTGAAATACTGTTTTGGTTGAAATACACGAAGAAAAACTCACATAGGTATGTAGTTGGCAAGAGAGGGGTATTTTAATATGCAAATAAATCCTGGGTGTTATTATGCAAATAGTTTTGACCTTACAGACTGCCTTGAAAAGGTCTTGGAAATCCCCAGAAATTCTTGGACCACACTATGAGAACTGTTGGACTAGATCATTGAGGTCCTTTACAGCTCTGAAGCTTACAATATTATGGCAAATCCTATCTTCTGAGGGACTTTAATTTTCTTAGAAAACTGATGACTTTTGGGAGACAGTTTGACGTAGTAGAAAGAGTTAGGAGTCAGAGTGAGAATGGTTCAGTACTTCACAAGAAATTATGCTTTCCTGATTCTCTTCTGCTGTTCTTCTATTTCCAGACTAGGAAAGTTGCTTCCACTTACCTATTCCTATGTCAAATTCAGAAAGCAACTTTTCTTTCCTGTGGGGCTCTTGGTGTATTTCCTACACCATTTATTCATTGAACAGGCATTTTTACTACCAAGAATCAGAAGACCTAAGTTTGAGTTCTAGGTCTCTCTCCTTACTGGCTGTATTACTGTGGGCAAGTCATTTAAGCTAAGTCTCGGTGTTCTCATTGGTATAATTGGAATAATTAACATTTGCACTGCTCACCACACAGAACAGCGAGAAAAGTGCTTTGTAAATGACCAAGTGCCATAGAAATATGAATAATTGTTGTGATGATGCCATCTCTAGGGTTCTTTAGAAGGTGCCCCACAAAGCAATGGTTCAAGATGCAAGGCAATCTAAATCTGTCTGGCAATCGATAGAGGCAAGAGAGACAATTCTCCTCACTTATGTGCAGAGGTGGGAGGTTCTCAGGGGTAGAACATTTTTGATGTACTAATTGGTTTTGCTGAATTTTTTTACCTCTTCTTTTTTTATTGGAAATATTCTTTTGTTACAAGAGGCTGCTCTCTAGAAGGGGAAAGGGAAGGGATTCAGAGAGAAATTTTAGCAGTATAAAAAATAAAAGATATGAACAAAAATCTATTGAAAGATTTTTAAGAGTTCAGAGGGGGACACAAATGGAAATTTTGTTACTACTTCGTTAAATTTAATATAAACTTTTAAAAAACAAATTCTACACGACAGAAGTCCATAATTTCATATCTAAATCTTTTGTTCTTTGTATATAAAATGTTTCTTTTTGTGATTATTACATTTTATAACAAAAAGAAAATTTAAAAATACTCAGGCTTCAGAGCTTTATAATTTATATAATACCTTCTTCCCAATGACTCTGTGAGGTAAGTGGTTTGAATATGATCATCTTCTCTCAGCCTCATCAGTAAAATGGGGGTTAGTGATTTGCTAGTAAGTAGCAGAACCAAGACTAGACTCTAGGTCTCCTGATGAAGTCCTCTACACTACCCCAAGAACCGGCTGGTAAAAAGGAGGCCCTCAAGCACGAGGCTCAATTCAATGAGAAAATACTCAATTTGGACATTGCCCTGGTTCTTCAGAATATTCCCCCCATTCCTTCTTTGTCTACCTCCTGACCATTTCAGTGTTCATTAGAACATTCAAGTGACAGTTACAGTGTCACAATAATATTGGAGGAGACAAAATTCCTCTTAAGCCATTTATCAGCTATGGAAAAAAAGGCAAGGTATAAAGGAAGGATGATGCCATTGATTAAATGAAAGTTTGCAGTTATCTAAGAATTTCTTACTTCTGTTGAGCCGATCCTCCCATGGCATTTCCCCTCTCTATGACCCTAAGTATTGTTATTGTAAAATGGGGGATGATCTTATGGTCCCATCAACCTCTGACACCCTCTGATTTTCATTAACAACTGACTATTGGCTATACCAGGACATCAGTCCATGGCAACTAAAGCAATTCAAGTTTCTAAATGATATATGGAAAAGCAAAAGGAAGGGGCAGCTAGATGGTACAGTGGATGGAGCATTGGCCTTGGATTCAGGAAGACCTGAGTTCAAATCTGGCTTCAGACACTTGACACTTACTAGATGTGTGACCCTGGGCAAGTTACTTCATCCCATTGCCTTGTCAAAAAAAAAAGGGGGAAAAAATGAGAAAAGTAGAAGGTATAGCCAAGATCCTTTATATGAATCTAACTGGCACAGCTTTAAGTGCTAAAACATATTTGTATTCTTATAGGTGTGACTTATATTTCAATTTTTACAAAGTGTGAAATTTATTTCCCTGGATCTTGTTTCTCCTCTGACACCTATGGATATTTCCCAATGCTTAATACTGGAACCTCTTTTTTTTTTTCTGGAAAATTTTAATTCACTGTTTTGTTCTCAACTTTAGAATTCATGTCTAAAACCAAATTCAACACATTTTATGACATTACTCCTTCTTGATTCTCCTTCTACTTGTTTGACCACTCCTCAGTCTTACTGGCTTTTTATCCATTTCATACCCCCTAACTGTGGGTACATTTCCAGGCTCTCCCTTGGGCTCTCTTTTCTTCTTTCTCTATATTCCCTCATTTGGTTACCTTTTCAGATGCCATGGGTCTAATTATCATCTCTATGCAGATGATTCCCAGACATATACAAAACCTTGGTCTCTCTCCTCAGCTCGAGACTCTTATCACTATCTATTACAGATTTCAAATTTTATATCCCATGGACAGTTCAAACTCAACATGTCCAAAACTGAACTCTGCATTTCTCTCCCAGAACTAACCCCTCCTCCCAACTTCACTTTTCCTGTCAAAAGCATCATGACCCTTTAAGTCACCCAGGTTCACAACCTCAGCATTGCTTGACTCCTCAACTGTACTTCACCCCACATCTCCAATCAAGCTGCCAAATCTACTTCCACAATATCTTTCACATCCATTCCCTTCTCACTATTCATGAAACCGCCAGCTTAGTTCAGACCTTCAACATACCTTCCTGGTCTACTGCAATGTAATATAATTGGTCTTCGGGCTTCAGATTTCTGCCAGCTCCAATCCATCCTCCACATACATAGCGACCAAAGTGATTTTCCTTAAGCACAGGTCTTATCGTGTCATTCTATTCAATACACTGGTGATTCCCTATTGTATCTAAGATGAAATATAAACTAGGGTTTTCATAGCCTTTTGCAAGCTAGCACCAACTTACTGGCATCACTATACATTACTCCCTTTCCTAACTCTATTGTGTGGCTGGACTGACCTTGCTGCCATTCCTCTCACAGAGCACATGCCATAACTTTGCTACGGCCATCTGCCATGCTTGAAGGGCTCTCTTCTTTCACCCCTACCTCACAGAATCCTTCAGCTCCTTCAAGATTCAGCTCAGACACTACCTTCTCCTGAATATTTTCCTGAGCTCACCAACCATTAGTGTGCACTCCCTTCTCCCTAAACCATGTTGTATTTGTTTTACACGTACTTATATATGGACATGTTTCTTCCCCTGATAGAATGTAATCTCCTTGAGAAGAGAGACTGTCTCATTTTTGTCTTTGTATTCCCAGACCCCTTGCAGAGCACCCAGAACACAGCAAGCCCTTAAAAAATGCTTGTTGATAGATAACCTAGAAAGATATGACCACATCATAAACACACGAGTAAGGAAGGGGTAACTTTTTATATCTATTGACAGAAGAGTTCTTGACAAAAAAAAAAAAAGATGATATTATAGGAGATCAAATGGATAATTCTTACTGAATTCTGACAAAACTGAAAAGCTTTTGTATAAACAAAGCAGTAAAGTTAAAACTAATAGGTAAACAGCTCACTGAGAAAAATCTTTGCAATTTCTCTGATAAAGAGTTGATCTATATCTTTGACCCCACACTCTCCCCTCTAATACACCTTCCAAACAGCTGCCAACATGGTGTCCATAAAACATGAGTTTGACCATTTCATCCCACTGTTCAATAAATTCTGATGGCTTCCTACAACCACTAGGCTCAAATACAAACGCCTCTATTTGGCATTTAAAGCTCTTCATCAACTGGCTTTAACCTATGTGGTATATTGGATAAAAGTGTTGGGCTTAGAGTTAGAGAGACCTGAGTTAAAATTGTAACTTAGACACTTGCTGAGTGACCCAGGGAAAGTCCCTTAACCTCTCTCCAACATCAGTTTCCTCAAGTGTAAAACAAAGGGGTGGGACCTGTTGACCCTTACAGCCCCCTCTAGCTCTAATTCTCCGATTCTACATCTTTCCAGATTTACTATACATTATTTCCCCTTCAAACATTTGATAACACAGCCAAACTGTAACATTTGCTGTTTGTCACATCCTGTCATATTGTGTTTGTCATCTCCCTTCTCCGTGCCTTTGCACTGGCTGTTCCTCATACTTGGAATGCACTCCCTCTTCATGTCTAGCTTTAGCTTCTTTCAAAGATCAGTAGAAGGTCCACTTCCTACTAGAAACTGATCCTGGATCTCCCAAT